AAATTCCTTGTATTTTTGAATAAAAAATGTTTATATATAAAAGTACATAATTATTGGAATTTACTTCAAGATAATGTTGGTGGTGGGGGAAAGTAGATAGGGATATAAAGGTAGCAAGATTGGCCATGAAATTATAATTGTCGGGTTTATTCTGTTTTTGTATATATACATGTATGATTTTTCCATACAAAAAGTTTAAAAAAGTCAATAAGGGGTGCTAGAAGTACTGGTTATTCACATAGGAAAATGGAAATCGGATGCATACCTCACACCATGCACAAAAATCAATTCCAAGTGGATGGAAAACTTAAATACGGGAGACAAAAACTATGAAACCTTTAGAAGACAATGTAAGGAATACCTTTAAAACCTCAACTTAGGGAAGGATTTCTTAAGTCATATAAAGTACATCCTAAGCAAGTCACAAAAAAAGGACAAAACACAGACATTGTTGGATTCAGTTATAAGTAAGCAGATGAAAAAAATAAAAATTAGAATCTGTGAAATCAAAAACAGGAAATCAGTGGAGAAAATCAATGAAACCAAAGCTGGTTCTCTTAAAAGATCAATAAAATTGAGAAGACTCTAAACAGGTTAAGAAAAAAAGAAACACAAATTATTATTAAAATGGGAAGAGGGGACATCATTATTGAACTCATCGACGTTAAAAGAAGAAAGGAATATTCTGAACAACTCTGTGCCAACAAACTTGATAACCTGGATGAAGTGGACCAATTCCTTAAGGCATAATCTGACAAAACACATGCCAGGAAAAACAGTCAATCTGAATTAGGCCTCTATTTATTATGGAAATTGAATCAATAATGAATAACCTTCCAAAATAGAAAGGACTGGGACACCTGAGTGGCTCAGTCGGTTGAGCATCTGTCTTTGGCTCAGGTCATGATCTTGCAGTTCATGGATTTGGCCCCACATCAGGCTCCATGCTGGCAGTGCAGAGCCTGCTTGGGATTTTCTCCCTCTCCCTCTCTCTCTGCCTCTCCCCTACTTGCACTGCCTCTCTCAAAATAAATAAATAAACTTAAAAAAATAGGGTCGCCTGGGTAGCTCAGTCAGTTAAGTGACCAACTTCAGCTCAGGTCATGATCCCACTGTTCTTGAGTTTGAAGGCCTGTGTCGGCCTCTGTGCTGACAGCTTGGAGCCTGGAGCCTGCTTCAGAGTCTGACCCACCCCCCCCCCCTTCCCCACTCGCGCTCTCTTCGTCTCAAAACTAAACATTAAAAAAAATTTTTTAATAAATTAAAAAAAATAGAGAACAGTATACCTGAATGGGTTCACTGGTGAATTCTACCAAACACTTAAGGAATTATAGTAACTAAATTAAACCAATTCTCCACAATCTCTCTCAGAAGGTATAAACAGAAGAAATAATTCCTAACTCCTTTCATGAGTTACCCTAAACCCAAAACCAGACAAAGATACTCTTTTTTTTAAATTTTTTAATGTTTATTTGTTTTTGAGAGAGAGAGAAACAAAGCACAAGGTGGGGCAGGGCAGAGAGAGAGGGAGACACAGAATCCGGAGCAGGCTCCAGGCTCTGAGCTGTCAGCACAGAGCCCGATGCAGGGCTCAAACCCACAAATTGTGAGATCATGACCTGAGCTGAAGTCGGATGCTTAACTGACTGAGCCATCCAGGTGCCTCCCAGACAAAGATATTCTAAGAAAACAGAACAATGCTTCTCATGCACAAATGCAAAAATTCTCAAAATATTAGCAAGTCAAATCCAACAATGTATAAAAAGAACTGTAGTAGACCGTGACCAGGTAGTATTTATCCTAGGGATGCAAGGCTGGTTCAACATTTTAAAATCAATCCATCACGGGTCACCTGCCTGGCTCAGTGGGTTGAGGGTCTGACTCCTGATTTCAGCTCAGGTCATGATTTCATCATTCATGGGATCAAATCCCACATCAGTATTTGTTGTCAGCAAATCTGCTGTCAGCACAGAACCTGCTTGGGTTTCTCTCTCCCTCTCTCTGCCCCTTCCCTGCTCACACACATACTTTCTCTCTCTCTCAAAAAAAAAAAAAAATTTTAAATAAAATAAAACTAAGCCATCACAACAGGCTGAAGAAGAAAAATCACATAACAATAGATGCAGAAAAAGCATATGACAAAATTCAACACTCCTGATTTAAAACAAAACAAAACAAAACAAAACCTAGTAAACAAGAGGGGGAACTTCCTCAACGTGATAAACATCTACTAAAAAACCTACAACTATCCTCATACTTACTACGGAGAAACTCCCAAAGCTTTCCCACTATAGTCAGGAACAAGGCAAAACGTCCCCTCTCACCACTGCTTTTCAACATTGTACTGTTAAATCCTAGCTAATGAAATATGAAAAGGAAATGAAAGGTATACAGGTTAGGATGGAAGAAATAAAACTGTATTTGCAGAGGACATGATTATCTATGCAGAAAATCCAAAAGATTCAATAAAGAAACTCCTAGAATAAATAAGTGAATACAGCAGAATTGCAGGATAGGAGGTTAATATACAAAAGTCAATTGCTCTCTTACATACCGGCGATGAACAACTGGAATTTGAAATACAATACTATTTACATTAACCGGCCCCCAAAATGAAGTACTTAGGTATAAGTCTAACAAAAATATGTATAAGAGCTATATGAGGAAAACTACAAAACTCTGATAAAAGAAATCAAAGAACTAAGTAATATGCCATGTTAATGGACAGAAAGATAATATTGTCAGGATTCCCACCTTGGTCTATAGATTCAGTGCAAGCTCAGTCAAAATTCCAGCATTTTGTGGATATCAACAAACTGATTCTAAAGGTTATACAGAGAGTAAAAAGACCCAGAATAGACTACACGATATTGGAGGAGAAGAAGAACGTTGGAGGACTAATGGTACCTGACTTCAAGACAATACTATAAAGCTACAGTAATCAAGACAGGGTGTATTGGCAAAACGAACACACAGATACTTCATTGGAAGAGAACAGGGGGCCCAGAAATAGACCCACACAAATACAGTCAACTGATCTTTAACGAGGGAGCAAAGATGGTCTTTTCAACAAGTGGTACTGAGACAATTAGACATCCACATGAAAAAAAAAAAATTTAGACACAGACCTTACATCCTTCACAAAAATTAACTCAAAATGGATCACAGACATAAATGTAAAACACAGAAGTATATAAAAGTCTTAGAACATAGGAGAATAACATAGATGACCTTGGATTTGGTGATGACTTTAGGTGAACACCAAAGGCATTATATATGAAAGAAAGAATCGATAAACTTGACTTCATTAAAATTAAAAATTTCGGCTCTGTGCAAGACAACTTGAAGACAATGAAAAGACAAGCCACAGAGGCAGAGAAAGTACAGTTGGTCCTTGAACAACATGGGTTTGAACTGAGTGAATGCACTTATATGTTGATTTCTTTCAATAAATACATTGGAATATTTTTTGGAGATTGGCGACAATTTGAAAAAAAGGTGCAGATGAACCACTTGGCCTAGAAATATCAACAAATCTAAGAAAGAGTGATGTCATAAATGCCTTCTAGGGATACTGGATTCCAAAACAGATAAACCCATTGTGTCATATTCCCAGTACAATAAATGAATTACAACTATAGATAGCCACATGAGTGAAAGTCAAGAACCTAATACAAATAAAATAAAGCTAGCTGCAAAAGAAAACTCAATGTATGATGCAACTTATGTAAAGTTCAAAAACATGCAAAACTAGACAACATACTGTGGAGAGCAGAGCTGTCCAATGGAGCTCTGCAATGGTGTAAATACTCTAGAACTTTGCTGTCCAGTATGGTAACCACTAGACATAGGTGGCTATTAAGCGCTTAAAATATGGTCAACATGACTGATCAACTGGATGTTTATTTAATTAAATGTAAATTTAAATTATCATCTGTAGCTAATGGCTACCATCCTGTACCCCCAGGTTTATAAAGAGAACCAATGGAATAACAAGTACAAAATTCAGAACATTTCCTTCTAAAGGAAAGAGAAAGGCAAAGAATCAGGGAGGGATACGCAGCGGATTCAAAAGTAACAATAACGTTCTTTTTCTTAAGTGGGTATCCTTGTATCCTTGTACGGTATTCTTTAAACTGTACATAAATTCTACTATAAATGTTCTTCTTTAGGGGCCCCTGGGTGGCTCAGTCAGTTAAGCGTCCGACTTCGGCTCAGGTCATGATCTCACGGTTCATGGGTTCGAGCCCTGCATTGGGAGTGCGGAGCCTGCTTCGGATCCTCTGTCTCCCTCTCTCTCTGCCCTCCCCATCTCTTGTGTGCAATCTCTCTCTCAAAAATAAACATTTAATAAATAAATAAATAAATATTCTTTTATATGGACTAAATATTCAGTAAAACAAAAATAGTGAATGAGGTGGTAGGTATGTGGATATTTACACTGTTGTTATTATTTAAAGTCTGCATCGTAAAAAATTTCTATTAAAAAGATTTCTGGGCTTCACATGCACCCCAAGTGGGGCCCTCGGGCGCAACTAGGAAGAATAAAACTTGGCCCAACTCCAGACCTAGTCAGCCCTGACATCTGCCTTCCCCCACACAGCCAACCAACCAACCCCAAGCCCTAGACACAGCCCCAGCACTAATGCTCTCATCCTCCTTCAAAGGTAGGAGAAACAAGATGTATTATCTGTTGCTGCGTAACAAATTATTCCAAACACTCAGTGCCTTAAAACAATAAAAAAATCATCTCACAGTTTCTGTGGGGCATGAATCTTGAGTGTGGCTTGCTAATCCTCTGCTGTAAGGTCTCTGATGAGGTTGCAGTTGTGGTGTTAGCCAGAACTGTGCTCTCATCTGAAGGTTTGACCAGGGGGAGATCTGCGCACCAGCCCCCTCGTGTGGTGCGGTAGGATTTGGTTCTTCCCGGGCCATCAAATCAAGGACTTCAGTTCCTCACTGGCTACTGCTAGGAGCCACTCCACAGAGCAACTCACAACATGGCGGCCAGCGTCCCTCAGAGCAAGATAGGTAGAGAGAACGTCAAGAACAAGTCACGGGGCGCCTGGGTGGCACAGTCGGTTGAGCGACAACTTCATGGTCTCACGGTTTGTGAGTTCAGGCCCCGCATTGGACTCTGTGCTAACAGCTCGGAGCCTGGAGCCTGCTTGGGATTCTGTGTTTCCCTCTCTCTCTGCCCCTCCCCTGCTCACGCTCTGTCTCTCTCTGTCTCAGAAATAAACATTTTAAAAAATTTTTCTTTTTTT